AAGTCCATTGACAACAAAAAAAATATTTTAAAGAGTGGCCATATTACCAAAAGTGCTATACAGATTTAATGCAATTCCTATTAAAATCCCAAAGATGTTCTTCATAGAAATAGAAAAGGCAATCATGAAATTCATTTGGAAAAATAAGAGACCCAGAATAGCCAAAGCAATCCTTAGCAAGAAAAGTGAAGCAGGCACCAATATCAGACCTTAAAACATACTACAGAGCTATAGTGACAAAAATGGCATGGAATTGGCACCAAAACAGACGCGTAAACCAATGGTACAGAATAGAGGACACAGAGACTAACACATAATTACAGTTATCTTATATTAGACAAAAGCACCAAAAACATACATTGGATAAAAGATAGCCTCTTCAATAAATGGTGCTGGGAAAACTGAAAATCCATATGTAGCAAAATGAAATTAAACCCCTATCTCACCCTGCACAAAACTCAAAGTGGATCAAGGACTTAGGCATTAGACCAGAGACCCTGCACCTAATAGAAGAAAAAGTAGGCTCAAATCTACATCATGTCAGCTTAGGAGTCAACTTCCTTAACAAGACTCCTAAAGTACAAGAAGTAAAATCAAGAATCAATAAATGGGATGGAATCAAATAAAAAGTTTCTTCACAGCAAAGGAAACAATCAATTATATGAAGAGAGAGCCTACAGAATGGGAGAAAATCTTTGATACCTGCACCTCAGATAGAGCAAAAATCTCCATGATATATAAAGAACTCAAAAAATTTAACACCAAAAAAAAAAAAATCAAAACAAATATCCTAATCAACAAATGGGCTAAGGAAATGAACAGACACTTCACAGAAGAAGAAATACAAATGGTGAATAAATACATGAAAAAATGTTCAACATTTCTAGCAATTAAGAGAAATGCAAATTAAAACTACACTGAGATTTCATCTCATTCCAGTCAGAATGGCAATTATCAAGAATACAAGTAATAGTAAATGTTGGTGAGGATGTGGGAAAAAAGGTACACTCATACGTTTCTGGTGGGACTGCAGATTGGTGCAATCATTCTAGAAAGCATTATGGAGAGACCTCAGAAAACTCAGAATGGAATCATTATTTGACTCTGTTACCCCACTCCTCAGCATATACCCAAAGGACTTAAAGTCAGCATCCCTATAGTGATGTTTATAGCTTTTCAATTCATAATAGCTAAAGTTATGGAACCAGCTTAAGTGCCCTTCAACATATGAATGGGTAAAGAAATTGTGATATTGAGATATATATATATATATATATATATATATATATATATATATATATATATACACACACACACACACACACACACATACACAATGGAATATTACTCAGCTACAAAGAGAAATGAAATTATTGCATTTGCCAGTAAATGGATGGAACTGGAGACTATGATGCTAAGTGAAACAAGTCAGTCCCCAAAAAACAAAAGGCCAAATGTTCTCTCTGATATTCAGATGCTAACTCACAATGAATCGGGAGGGGCAGGAAGAATAGAAGTACTTTGGACTAGATAAAGCTAAATGAAGGGCAGGGAGTGGAATGGGAATGGGAAAGATAGTAGAATGAATCAGACATTACTTTCCTATGTGTATATATGATTACACAACCAATGTAATTCTACATCATGTACAACCAGAAGAATGAGAAGTTATATTCTATATATGAATAAAATGTCAAAATACATTCTACTTCAAAGAACAAATAAAATAATGAAAAACCATGTGAAAATAATATATAATCCACAAAACAAGAATTAGGAGTCTACAGAGAAACATTCAGGAAATAAAAATGCAATGGAAATGTTGGAGGATAATGTTGATATCTCTATAAATGTTGATGTCCCTATAATGTTATTTATCTTCTATAAAGTAGAACCAAAACACATAGAAGATGGAAAACGAGAGAAAGAAAATTAGGGAATCAGTCCAAAGAGTCTGGTTTCAGAGAAACAATGGAGAAAATGGAGGGAAAAAATAATCAAAGAGAAAATACAAAAGTTTACCCACACATGAATGATATGATTTTATAATGATACCAATGCATATCATCATGAAATTTTGTACTATACATAAAAAGATGATTCTAAAATTCTGTGTAGAAAAAGTAGATTACATACAAAGAATTAAGAATGAGAATGGTAACATATTTGTGTTAGACTTTTTAATGGTATTATTGGAAGATATAAGAAAATAATCATGCCTGCTGAAATTGGGAAGAAGTTGATTTCCAAAGTAGAGTTCTACTGTATTCAGCTAGTCTAATTGCCAAGTATTGGAAGAACAAACAAATTTGGGGGCATGCAGGGACTCAGATAATTTACCATCTATGTCTCCTTTATTGAGAAGTAACAAAGTTTACCAAGAAAAGGGAGTAAACCCAAAGAGAAAACCATGGATCTAGGAAACAGGAAGATACACAACAGAAGAGAGAAGGGAATCCTCATTGATAACCTGCTTTTTACAGTAGACTGAAAGCAATCAATTTAAATTATAATGAAAGGATGGGGTGTGTCCAAAACAAACTGAGAGAATACTTGAAGGAGGCAGTTTCTTTTACGTGGGGAAGTGGGACAGGAAATGATTTATGTCTCCGGTACACTGATTCAGGACCATGATGCTCTCTTTCTAGATCTTCCCCCTCAGTTACCTCTGCAACTCAAACATAAGCCACTCAAATACTACAGTCTTGATTTTCTATTTATTTTTATTGTTCAAATCACCTTATTCAACATCATTCAATAAATAAAAAGTTACTTTTGGTTATTTATTATTACTAGGATATAGACTATAGTATACTCTCCCATTCTCTTTCCTAAACTTTTGTCTGTTTTTTAAAATACAGTATGTTACTGATTTAAAAACTAAAATATTTGCTCAATTGTTAAAGTACTAAAAGTCTTAATTATACACTATTGTAAATACTTAGAAACGTCCCCATTGTTATATGTAACATAAATTAAGGAAATGTATCTTGTATAAACATTTTCATTATCCTGAAATAGAAGCAATCAAAATAGGTATTCATTTGGGTGCTCTGAAGGTGCATAGCTTCTTATGAAATAGAGGAGAATTTTCATATTACAAGTTGTAACATGCTTTTTGTTAGATAAGTTGCTGTTATTTTGAATAATTGTGTATTTTCATATTGAATACTTTAGATGTAATTGAGAACTCTTTAAATAAAATATTATGAAGCCTTAAAATAAAATTGATCTATGTATAGTAGTATGAAAAGTAAGCAAGGGGGCTAGGGATGTGGCTCAAGTAGTAGCGTGCTCGCCTGGCATGTGTGCGGCCTGAGTTCAATCCTCATACAAACAAAGATGTTGTGTCTGCCGAAAAACTAAAAAATAAATATTAAAAAATTCTCTCTCTCTCTTTAAAAAAAAGTAAGCAAGGCATTATTTTGCTTTTTACAAAGCAGAATATAGAATAGTACATGTAACATGGTTCATCTGTATTTAAAATATATATAGGGGCTGGGGGTGTGGCTCAATGGTAGATTGTTCACCTAGCACAGGCGAGGCCCTGGGTTCGATCCTCAGAACCACATAAAAAATAATTAATTAATTAAAGATATTGTGTCCAACTACAACTAAAAAGTAAATATTAAATATATATATGTATGTATATGTATGTGAGTGTGTGTGTGTTGTGTGTGTATATATATATTAATTAAAACATATACATATATGTTTTAGTCAGCTTTTTCACTGCTGTGACTAAAAAATCCAACCAGAACAATTGTAGAGGAGGAAAAGTTTATTTGGGGACTCATGGTTTCAGAGGTCTCAATCCATAGACAGTAGGCTCTTGGGGCTTGAGGTGAGACAGGACGTCATGGAGGAAGAGTGTGGCATAGGGAAGCCCCTCACATGATGATCAGGAAGCAGAGAAGTCTCCACATGCCAGATACAGATATATACCCCAAAGTCATGCCCCAATTCCCATTTCCTGCAGCCACACCCTATCACTTCAGTTACCACTCAGTTAATTTCTGTCAGGATATTAATTCACTGATTGGGTTAAGACTCACAACCCAATCATTTTCCCTCTGAACCTTCTTGCATTGTCTCACAGATGGGCTTTTGTGGGACACCTCATATCTAAACCATAACAATTCTTGTACGACTATAGGCAGTTTCTATAATTATAGAAAAAAATGCTAAGTGATTATTTGGGGGGAAGAAGAACTAATAGAGGATAATCTTACCTTTTCTTTGGATATCCTTTTGTGTAGCTTGAAATTTTTACCAAGCAGACATCTAATAAACAGATAAACTTAAAAACACTGAATATTAGACATGTTGATGAAAGTTACTATTTATTTTTCACAGACGTTTATAAGCACACACTGAAGAAACTTAATAATATTGGTGACATGAATTTAATAGTTCACAAACCCTAATCTTAGAAAATACTTGGTACTATTTTTACTTTTTAAAGGTTTTATTTGGGGTGGGGGAGTAGTGTGGTAGAAATTCTGTGAAATTAATGAAGTAAGTAAGTTAATATGGTAAATAGTTAAGTTATGCTAAAAAGTATGAATTTGAAATTAAAATTGTATTTCAGGACTTTCTAGCCAGTTAATTTCTAAAATAAACTATAAGAAATACTATTCTGTGGTAGTTAAAATTTTTTAGTAGTGTTAGGCTGGATTATGCTACATTTCATACTTTTCAGTGCTGTACTTTATATTACTTTTTCAGTACATTAAAAGTTATGCAGTGAAACTGAATAATGGCAATGTTTTTATACCCTTTTATAGCCATTTCTTTATCATAACCTCCCCCTATTTCCTGTTAGCTAAACTATAAGCACCTTTCTGTTAATTTATGAAAATTATTGTTGAGATAGCACATTATCACTGATCTGTATGGCACTTTCAGCATGTTGAAAGCAAAGGTCCAAGCAACATAAAACACATCAAAATTCATTAATGTGGTATTGATTATTTTTTGGATAATTAATTTTATTGCAGACCCTTGAAAGAGATAATGAGCTGCAAAGGGAGAAGGTAAAAGAAAATGAAGAAAAGTTCCTTAATCTTCAGAATGAGCATGAGAAAGCACAAGGAACTTGGAAGAGACATGTAGGTTTATTAAACTATAAAATATTAAAATATTTTAAATAACTGCAGACATTTAAAATACCTATTTAGTGCTAAGAAAATATTGCAAAAATAATACAGGAATAAAGTCAGACACATTTTCTTCTTGCACTTATTTTTCCAAAAAGTGAGTGCTTTTTAAGAGGTAAATTTAACAAAATTTCCTGTAATGTTTTCATGCATAAAAGATCATACATATATGTTTGTGTTTATACATAAATATATATGTGTATATATTAATATGTATCAAATGACCTTCCATATGTGGCAAAGGAAATTTACCTTTTCATGAAACCACTGCATTGTATTTTACTAAATGATTAAAACAAAGGCTTATATATCTACTGTTGTTAGATGATCTATTTATTTTCCTCAGCAGTTTTGTTGAGATATATTAGAGCCATGTTTAGAACATGTGTGCAGTAGTTCTGTTATATTAACATCTTGAAACATTATTATTTCCTTAACCCAAAATTGTTTATTTTTAATAAATATTTTTATAAGCATTTATTTTAATTTCAGTGAAGTAGATAAAGTAATGCTATAAATGATGTAAATTCAAGTTGTGAAATACAAAGGTTCACTTTAAAGATTGGAGGACCACAAAATTGACTATTCTATTTTAATATCAATTTTCATTGCCTCTTCAGTTCTTTTAAAGAATTAACACAATTGGCTGGGGCTATAGCATGCATGAAGCCCTGGATTTAATCTGAAGCACTCCAACTAATAATAATAATAACAATTGAAAGTCACTACTTACGAGTTTAGGAAGTGATATTTTTGAAATGTATGATTATATTTTAAGACTATTGTATTAATTAAAGTACATGCAATATTGTTATAGTAATATAATGTGTATTTTAATATCAGCTTTGTAGCATTTTCTGTAGATGATTTTGTTTGATTTATGATACAAATAACTCTTCATATAGTTCATTTGTAGCTAACATGTTTTCTTACTTTATAGTTTGGAAAAACCAAGTCATCACTGATATAAGATTTTGATAAGCTTTTCTCAAATCTAAGAAAAGTATTATATATTTAATTATTTGAGAATACTAAAAAGTGCTTAATAATCTCTACCAATAAAATTTATCATTAAGCAATAAGCATAGTAATTTCAGTTAATCTCCATTGCATCCCAGTACCTTCTTCTCATCCACAATGATTAAAAGATTATGGAAATGGTACTGTCAGAATAAGGAAAACTGTGAAGTGCAAAAAAATATAAACTGAAATATGCTAAATATGCCACAAAAGAAATTGGTTGAGCTAAGAAACTTAAACATTCATTTTCTCTGATAAGACTATAACAATGACTTTCTCCCTAGAAAAACAATGATTGATTGATGATTTATTTATGAATGCATGCTGAGTGTCCAACCCAGGGCCTTGTGCATGCTAAGCAAGTGCTTTATCTCTGAACTACATCCCCAGTGCTGGGTTATTCATTTTACAAAATGAGAAAGAGTAACTGGGGTCAAGGAGAAAAAAAAATTAAGAATGTGAATAGAGGACCTTTGTGGACTGAGGAGAGAATGCTGGCATAATGTGAGAGCATGAGAATGGGCAGAAGAGAAATTCACTAGAGTAAGGAGATAGAAGACCAAATGGAGAGTTTAGTCTTGAAAAAACAAATTAAAAGATGTTTAAAAAATAGATGAGCAAAGGGAAAGTAATGTGAGTTTATACCTGTTGGCTTCTATAACTACTATTGCATTTGGGAGATTTATGATAGAAGTTTTTAAGAGAAAATTATTATCTTTAATTTAAAAGTTATGTTTTTCTCTTCAGTGGAACTGTGTCTCATATTTGAGGTTTCCATGAAAGAATACTCCCCCAGGAAAAATATTATGAAATTTTATAGGCAGCTTAAGTTCAGTTTGTGGATGTAAATATCAGGCTAAAGTATCATTTTCTGTTGTACCATTAGTGCTCAGTACTCTTCATCTGGTTGAGTTAAAAATCTCTATATCTAATTTGCAACAACAAAAGAAAACTTTAAGAAAGCAAGAAAGATATAACTTTTGTAGAATTTTTAAAAATAAAAATTATAAATTTTCGATTGTAATAAGAGGTGGCTTAGTGTAGTAGTTACGATCACAGCACCTAGATTTATCTTTGGATTTGAATCCTGACATTTCATATCTGCATTATATGGAGCAAGTTACTTAACAACTTCATTTTTTAAAAAAATATTTTTTTAATTGTTGATGGACCTTTATTTTACTTATAAATAGATTTATATAGGGTGCCGTGCCAAGAATCGAACCCCGTTCCTTACATGTGCTAGGCAAGTGCTCTACTGCTGAGCCACAACCCCAGCCCGAGACTCTCATTTTTTTACCCGTAAATTTGGCATAAAAATATTTTATAGAGTTTTATGAGTATACAATTACATTTATTAAGGGTTAGCATAATTCCAATAATTAGTATTTAGTATTATTGATTATTTTGTGATTGTTTTTATTTCTCACTATTTCTAAACCTTATGTTAATAATTTCAGACAAAAATGTTTATATACTTGCTCATTTTGGTTAAATGTTACAATAGGTTGAAGAACTTATTGGAGAAATTAACAAGATTAAAAATGAATTATCATCACTTAAAGAAATTCATATTAAGTTTCAAGAACATTACAACAAGTTATGCTGTCAGAAAAAAGTTGAAGAATATAAGAAGTTTCAGGTAAAATTAAAATACGTTGGGGAGTACAACCTGCATCACTGATAATTTTCTCCCTGTTTTATATTTTAAGCTTTCAGTGAGTATACATATGTTGTCTGAAGTACATTTTTAGTTAACTTTTGTGTGCAGATTCTTTTTCAACTTTATGAATAAATTATTTTTATTTTGACAGGCTCTTGATATAAATATCAAGAGTAATTTTTTAGATATGGATTTCCAGTTGTTTGGAGACACACATTTATTGAAAAGACTGTTCTTTCTACCATTATACCTTGGTACTTTCTTTGAGAATCAGTTGATCAAATATCTAAAGGTCTATTTTTGACTCTTTATCATGTTCCATTCATTAATTATATGTCTGTATTTAAGCCAATACCACATTGTCTTTATTAGTATTGCTTTAAAATGTAGTATACGTCCTTCAATTTTGTTGTTCTTTTTCAATTTTTTTTGCTATTTTAGGCCTTTTACATTTCAATCACATTTAGAATCAGACTTAAAAAGTCTGTGGGATTTTGATAGGCATTATATTAAATCTATAATTTGTGAAGAATTGGCATCATAACAATACTGAATCTTATAGTTAATAAACATGGTATTGCTTTCCATTTAGGGGAATATTTAAAAAAATCTCTCAGAAATGTTTGTAGTTTTTATTGTATAGATCTTTCAAATATTTGGTTAAATTTACATCTGAGTATTTCATGTTTTGGAATCCTGTTGTATTTTTTGTTTGGTTTTCCTGTTGGGTATTGGGGCTGGGGATGGAACATAGGTGCCTCATGCCATGCTAAGCACAGATTCTACCACACTATATTTTAAATTTTTGTTTTTCTAACTGTTCATTTTTTGCATAGAAAAATATAGTTGATTTTTCTACATTGACCTCATTTTAAAATTTATTGTTATAGTGGTTTAGTATAATATGTAGTATTTTTTTTTATCTCAACAGCATTCATTAGCTAGGACTCTCTAGTACAGTGTTGAATAAAAGTTACAATACTGAGCATTCTAGCCTACTCATCTCAGATGAAGAGTATTTAATATTTCATCATTTTGTATTATTATAGCTGTTGGGATTTTTTGTTTATATTCTTTTAAAAAATTTTTTTTAAATTGTTGGTGTTTATTATTATTTTATTTATTTTTATATGGTGCAGAAGATGGAACCCAGTGCCCCACACATGGTAGGCAAGTGTGCTACCACCGAGTTATAACCCCAGCCCTTGTTTATATTCTTTATCAAGTTAAGAAGGTTTTCTTCTATTCCTAATTTGCTGAGCTTTTGTCATGAATGAATTTTTACCACAAATAGGTATAAAATTTTGTCAAATGCACTGGGCTCAAGAGGCTGAGGAGGAGGATCATGAGTTCAAAGCTAGCTTCAGCAAAAATGAGGGGTTAAGCAACTCAATGAGACCCTGTCTCACTGTAAAATACAAAATTAGGGCTGTGGATGGGGTTCACTGGTTGAGTGCCCCTGAGTTCAATCGCCAGTACCCCACTCCCCCAAAAAATTTGTCAAATGCTTTTTCTGTACTTTAAAAAAAAAATATTCTTAAGTTTAGGTGGACACAATATCTTTATTTTACATTTATGTGGTGCTGAGGATCAAACCCAGTGCCTCATGCATGCTAGGCGAGCATTCTACCTCTGAGCCACAACCCCAGCCCTTCTGTATCTTTTAATATGATCATTTTTAAAAAAAAAAAAATTCTGTTATCTATTAGTTACCTTAATTGTTTTCCAAATGTTAAAATAACCTTGCATCTTGGATAAAGTCCAACCAGTCATAATATATTATCCTTTTTATATATGACTGGATTTGAATTGTTAATGCTTTGCTAAAGATTTAGCATTGACAAACAATACTAGCCTGTAAGTTTTATTTTGTTTTCCTTACTATTTGGTTTTTGTGTCAAGAGTAATACTGGCCACTTCATAAACTGAGTTGGAAAATGTTCGTTCTTCCTATATTTCCTTGAAAAGTTTGTGTAGAATTGGTATCATTTCTTTATTAATTGTTAGAATTCACCAATGAATTGGGGCTGGAATTATGGCTCAGTGGTAGAGCGCTCCCCTAGGATGGGTGGGACTCAGGTTCGATTCTCAGCACCACATAAAAATAAAGGCATTGTATTGTGACCATCTACAAAAAAAGAAAAAAAAAATCATTCTCTCTCTCTCTCTCTTTAAAAAAAAAAGAATTCACCAATGAAGCTATCTGGGCTTTTTCTTTGTGGGAATATTTTAAATGAATTAAGTATTTAAATTATTTATAGGGCTATTCAGATTATCAATTACTTATTATGGTGGTATGTAGGAAAGAGTTACCATCGCAGGCCTGAGAATGCTATTCTTAGAAATGTTGGCCTTTGTCTGATGCTTGGAAACTTTGAGAGCATTCTCACCATTTCCTGACAAGAGTGGCTGACAGTGCCTTCACTGTTAGTATAAAAAGCTGGCCTTTTCTGCACATCTCTTTTTTTCTGGAGTCTGGAGTTTGGCATGAGCTAGGTAGAGAGTGCCCTGTAAGACCAGCCCTTCCAGAACACCTTGAGCACTAAGTCTCTAATGAGCTTCCCTGGTAGATAGCGATTCACATATGTTGTCACAATTCAGTGCTGTAGGAATTAGGCATGTCTTTTATGGCTTTACTAGGAGATGACTCTTGAAAGCTTGTACCTCGTTTTCTCTAGACTTTATTACTTCATGTGACTTTTCCTTTGCCTATTTTGTTTTTTTATCCTTTTGTTGTAATAATTTTAGCCATGAGATACTATGTATTGAATATGTATACAATATAGTGAATATAATATATAATGAATACAATATATATTGAATAATATGTTGAAAAAATATATATGTTTTCAATATTATATATTGAAGGTTGTGAGTCTTCCTAGTAAATCACTAATACTGGAAGTGATCTTGGGGACCCCCAACATAGTTTGGATAATTTTTATCTTTCAATAAGTTTGTCCTTTCCATAAGTTGCCAAATCTATTGACTAAGAGTTACTCATAATATTCCCTATCATTATATTCTTTTGTAGATCTGCATTAATGTCTCTCATTCTTGATATTAGTAATTTGAGTCTTCTCTTTTTTTATTGATCAGTTTAGTTAGAGGTTTTACAGTTTTATTCATCTTTTTGAAAAGCAAGGCTTTGGTTTCATTGATTTTTTCCTCTCATTTTTGTTTACCTGCTATTTTATTGAATTTTGCTATTAACTTTCTTATTTCTTTAATTCTGCTTACTTTGAGTTTAATTTGCTTTCCTTTTCTAGCTGCTTATTGTTAAGACTTAGAGTGATTCTTTGCCTTTCTTTTTTCTAATACGAACTTTCAAAGCTATGAAATATCCTCTAAGCACTGCTTTAGCTGTATCCTACAAATTTCAATATATATTTTCATTTTCATTCAGTTCAAAATATTTAAAAATTTTCTTGTGAAGTATTCTTTAACCCATGAATATAGGTATGACCTTTATGAAGTATGTTGTGGAATTTATAAGTACTTGAAGATTTTCCAAATATTTTTCTGATAATTTCAAATTTAATTTGACTGGTCAGAGAACAATCTATATAAGATTTTTATCATTTTAAATGTATTATGATTTTTTAAGCTAAGGATATTGTCCGTCTTGGTGAATATTTCATGTACCCCTTGAGGGGAAAAAAACACATATTCTGCCATTGATATATGGAATGTTTTATAACTGTAAATTAGGGTCAAGTTGGTTGATAATTTTGTTCATATTCTATCTTTTTTTTTAAGGTACTGGGGATTGATCCTAGAGGCACTCTGCCACTCTTCCACTCACTTATATTTCCAGTCCTTTTTATTTTTTGTTTTGAGATGGATTCTTACTAAGTTGCCAAGCTGGCCTCAAACTTGCAATCCTCCTGCCTCAGCCTCCTGATTTACTGGGATTATAGGAGTGTGCCACCATGCCTGGCTATCTTGATTTTTTGTACTTGTTCTATCAATTAGTGAGAGAAGAGTTTGGAATTTTGGATTGTAACTATGAGTTTATCTTTCTCTTTCCAGTTGTCAGGTTTTTCTTTAAACATTTATTTTTTAATTGTAGGTGGACACGATACCTTTATTTTATTTTTATGTGGTGCTGAGGATTGAACCCAGTGGCTCACACATGCTAGGCAAGCACTCTACCTCTGAGCCACAACCCTAGCCCTCCAGTTGTTAGTTTTTGCTTCATCTGTTTTAAGTCTGATATTATATATATATGATTCCTGATAGTTATGACAGATTTATGATTGTTATGGCTTCCTGATTAATTGACATTTTGTCATTCCAAAATATCCATTTCTATCCTACTAGTGTTTCTTGTCCTGAGGTCTATTTTTTTTATACTAATATAGTCACCCCATTTTCTGTGATTAGAGTTTGCATTATATATCTTTTTCATCTTGTTTTTAAAGGAATATTCACATTTTTTATTGAGTAATAACATGAGGAAGTCCTTTATTTTCTTTGAGAACTATTGTGTGATGATGATGATGATGATGATAATTATTATTATTCATTAAAGTCCCAGAGGGCACTGAGCTATATCCCTATTCCTTTTTAGTTTTTATTTTGAGGTGGGATCTCACTTATTTGGCTGAGGCTAGCCTTGGATTTGTAAACCTCTTGCCTCAGCCTCCCAATTCACTGGGGTTACAGGCATTTGCCACCACATCCATCTTGTACTTTATTATTGTGGTAAAATGTATATAATATAAAGTTTACTCTTTTAGCACATCTTTAATATGTATTATTGAATGGCCTTAAGTACATTTACAAGTGGGTATGGTTATATACCAACAAAATTATGTTTATATAAACAGACAGTGGGTTGGATTTGACCCTCTGGGCATAGTTTGTCAACTTCTTCTCTAGAGGTAAATTTATCATAGCATATTTTCAAATAATATTATGCCAAATTTGTAATATTATATCCAATTTTTGGTAAAGTAAGAAGTTTTCAATACCAT